AATGCATGAGGCACGTGATGCAGAAAAGTGCTTTAGGAAATAAAACCTTTTAAATTTGCCACCTGGAGGGTGCTGGGTGTTGGGAGGTTTTGGGAGGGGCGATATAAAGGGTTTCTCGCACAGCGAGCAGCTGGATCACTTCAGAAATCATGGAATGATTCGGAAATGAAGGTGGCACAAGCACAGCCAGGCTGGCTTGGCCTTTTCCAGCTGAGCAAACTCCTAATCCCCTGGCAGCAAATGAGTAAATGGAGGCACTTGGTGCCCCTCGAGTCACTAGAAGTGTTTGCAGAGCGTGACGAGAGAGCTGGAGAAGCGCAGGGAAGAGGTAAAGAGCTTTATTTTCTTCTTTTTCCCTGCTCTCCTTCACTTCCTCTCAACCCCTCCTTGGGATGCTGAGGAGGGAATGGCCCAATTCGGCTTTTCCTGGGAAATATCTTTGTTTTCATCTCCTTCCCATCCCCTCATGGAAATCAGGGGGCTGGAGAGGGCGAGCACAGGGGTGTGATGCAATCCTGCCCGGCTGGAAAGGTGATGATCCCTGGGGAAAGGGAGGGGGAAACGCTGGGCAGAGCTGCCTGGGCTCCTGCATCTGTGATCATGAAACCTGTTCTGGGAAGAGCAGTATCAGAGCAAAGCTTTGTTCACGTTGAGCTGCTGAATATTTCATGGAACACCCGTGTCAGACACCAGAGTCCCCGGGAATGCCTGGAGCTGTGCAGTGCCCCGGGTGCTGCCAGCCTGTCATCGCCCACAGTGGGCTCTGCCCAGGGCTGTGCCAGGCTGGGGGGATCCTCTCTGGGCTGGAGCATCCCCAGCCCCCAAATCAGGGTCCCCCCAGCCCAGCCTGAATCCCACCCGTGGTTCCCTGGCCCAGAGCTGTGAGTGGGGGCTGCAAACTGTGCAGAGGGGTCTGACCCGGGGAGGGAGGGCGTTGTTGGAGGTGGTTCTCAGGGAAAAAACTGCTTTGGGATGTTGCTTTGCAAAACCTTCTCAGGGTGTGTCCAGTTGGTGTCTCAGGGGGTGCTCAGGTGGTGTCTGTGCAGGTTTGGAAGAGCAGTGCCAGTGTTTTTGTTGTGGCCCCACTGATGCCATCACACCTCAGGGTTTCACCCACCTCTAGCTTGGGGGTGGGTGCAGCCTGGAGTGTCACGAGCGGGCAAATAAAGATCTTTTTTCTGCATCTAAAAGCTGAAAGAAACCTCTCTTGGAATGAAGGTTGGAGCTGCCACCAGGTGAATGTCTCCATGGGATGCAGAGAACCCCCATTCTGTGCCCAAAAGACACTTTATGAGTCGTTGGGGACCGGCACTGCTCTGGTCCTGGAGCCTCCCCAGGCACATCACAGGAAACAAACCCAAGGAGGGTGATGCTCTGAAATGCTCCACAGGATCGTAACAACAGAGTTCAGGAGCATCACTGGGGTGTAGGGTCGTGGCTGAGGGTCCTTAACTCGATGCAGATCCTTTAATCACCAGGTCCAGCTCAGTTTGTCTGGTTTTCCCTCCCTTCCTCGATCCATTTCACTTGCCCTTATACAACCCTTCCCCTTCACTTTCCAGCCTGGGACACAAACCCTGCTCTCCCTCCTCGCTGCAAACCTGCCACAGCTTTTCCCAGTCCACTGACATTCCCAAACTCCAGGGGAGAATCCCCGCAGCCTCCTGACCGCGGGACCACAGCTCGTGCTCTGCAGGGAGGGTTTCCCGAGGGTTAAAACCAATCCCCCCTGCCCGAGCAGGAGAGGAGCGTTTCGCTGTGGCAGCAGGTGGCAGCCCCGGACCGGGAACGGCGTGTGCCGGGCTGGGCAGCCCCTCCAACCCCGACATTCCAAGGGACTTTGGCTCTGGGAGGTGGGCTCTGCATCCTTCTGCCACTGCAGAGCTCTGGTTCTGTGGGTTCCGAGGCCTCTGGAGTGGGATGGAGTGAACTGCACTCCTTCTAACCCTCCAGAGGAACTGAGGTCTGTGCCGTGGAATAGCAAAGGCAGGGGGAGTGTGTTCAAACGCCAGTCCTGGTTTTAAATCCTCTGTGTTAATACTGAACAAACCTGCAGGTGCATCAGTGAGGCAAAACACCTCTGCCAGAGCTCCTGTGAGCACGGACGAGAACGGCTTCGTGTCCCAAACTAGGGAAGCACAGAGTGGCTCCAACAGCCCGGCGATTTATGCCCTGGGGGCAGGAAAAGCTGCTGCTCCATTAAAACAAAGTGCCTGGGATGTGCATCCATCACCAGCTTTTTCCTGAAAGGCTCCTCGTGTCACAGCAAGGCGCCCACAAATCCATCTTTCCGAGCGCGAACGCTTCAGGGCCGATCAATATTTGTTCCAAAGAGGTTGGTGGGAGGAGAGGAGCTCTTCTCATTCCTTCCCCTTGCCCATTCCCTGGTGAGCTGTTAATTGGATTGCAGCGGATCTCCAGGGGGAAGGAAGGGAAGGGACCCTCCCTGAGGCGCTGAGCGGGGACAGATACCCCAGGTGGATCTGGGAAGGGCTCAGAGCACCCAGCGTGGGTCAGGAATCAGCCCCTCCCCTCCCCTGCCTGCAGGAGGGGCTGGCTCAGGCAGCCCTGCACGTCTCTGTGTCAGTCTGGGGTGTCCTCCTAGTTCAGCCTCATCCTTTCTGGGAAACACCCAGCCCTGGACCCCAATTCCTGCTGGTTTTACATCCACCTGGCCCAGATGGATCTTGCAAGTGGAGGGTGCACTTTCCATTGCATTTAAACACTTCCCCTCGAGTTGCCAGTGGTTTGCAACTACTCCTCTTGATCATTTTGACCCTCTTTGCCCCAGATTTGTTATCCCTGCATAGAGGTGTGGGCAGGAGACACATCTCAGTGTCCTTTTCCTCGTGTGCCCAGGCCTGGGCAGCCTCTGAGCTCTTCCTCTGCTCACCATCCTCTCACAGGAGCAGCCTCAAAGATGAGCACTGTGTGCTGTAAATCAGTGTTTGTGTGGGGCAGGAAGGCAGGGGCCTCCTCCAGGTGGGACTCTCTGCTGAGACTTCCCGAAGCCAGAGGGGATATTTCAGTTCCTTCCCAGCAGGCTGTTTGCAGCCAAGGCCACGCAGAGGAGGAACAGGGAAAAGTGGATTTTGCAGGGTACTGAGCGGCTCGAGAAGTGCAACGTGCCCTTGGATCCCTCTGGAATTAGCAGCAATCAGCATCTCAGAGGAGCAGTCAGCACTGTTTGAGAGGGAGCTCTTGAGTGACTTTCCCCACCCCTGCCCTAAATCCAGCTGCACTACAGGATCCCTGTGGAAATGGCAAAGCTTGGTGAAATTCAATGTTTCCAAAGGTGCTGAGCAGCTGCAGGATAAGGAGTTGAGCCCGTGCTTTGGTGACACTGATATCAAGATGTCCCCACCTTTAACACCAGGTTTCCTTGTACTTTGTTGCTGATCCCTCTGTGCCCTGTTTTCCCCAGCCCCCAGCAGGAGGGGAGGGGTGGCTGGAATTCTGCTCAGCACTGGGCTCTGCAGTGTCTCAGCTATTCCTAATTGATTTATCTTCCTTCTTTTGCAGCAGCTGGGCCATCGCTGCCCTGCAGCACCTGCTCTCCGAGTCTGGTTTGTGTTACTGCAACCATCACTCAGTGGGAAAACTGCAGCCCAAAGCTGCTTTCTCAGAGCCCCCGAGCAAGAGGAGGCCCTGGCACAGGGTGCCCAGAGAAGCTGTGGCTGCCCCATCCCTGGAAGTGTCCAAGGCCAGGTTGAAGCAACCATGGCAGGGGGTGGCACTGGCTGATCTTTAATGTCCCTCCCATCCCGTTCAGTGATTTGCATTGGCACGTTCAGTATAAGTAGTTTAGAGGGCAAATGAAATACATATAAAAAGGGTCAGTGTGTTGCTTGCAGAGAAAGCTCCTCTCTTAGTTCAAGTTTTGCAGCTTCAGCAAGAACACTTGGAACCTAAAAAAAAAAAAAAAAAAAAAGAAAAAAGAAAAACGCAGGGCAAGGAGAGGCAGCAAAACCTCGCTGTGAGTGTTTTAATTAAACTGGCACTCCTGATAACCAAGAGGCTGAGGAGATGTCTGGGCTGTGATGTTCACCTCTGCTGGGCCACTCGGTGGGGGACAGCGCCTGGTTTAGGGCACTCACCAGCTGGCACCACACCCAGAGCCAAGATGTGGCACTTCAGCTCCTCCCCAGCGCCCTGGAGGGGCGGATTTACCCCTCACGGCGCTGCTGGGGGGGGCCCTGAAGGGCTCTGAGCCCCCCGCAGCCCTTCCCCTGGGTGACCCCAGCGCTCGGACAAGACTTGCCCTTCCCTGCCCGAACACTCGAGCCGGTGGATCCCCACCCAGCCCGGGTTGCGCCTTTGGCGCCCGCGGGGATTTTTTCGGGGAGGCAGAGCCGGGGCGGCCCCGCGCGCGCGGAGCGGCCGCGGATGCCAATTAACGGGCGCGCTAATGAACCACTCCCCCTGCCTCAGCCCCCTCCCCGCCAGCCCCTGCCTTCCTCCCTCCCTCCCTCCCTGCCTGCCTCCTCCTCCTCCTCCTCCCGGGGCGCGCTCTCTCTCCGCCCGCCCGGGAGCGCGCAGTGCGGCGCGGCCGCGCCCGGGAGCGCGCAGTGCGGCGCACCGAGCCCCGCACCGAGCCCCGCACCGAGCCCGCACCGAGCCCGCACCGAGCCCCGGCTGCGGCCGAGCCGTCGCTCCCCGCCGGGTAAGGGGGTGCCGGGGGTGGGCGGCGGGATGCGGGAGCCTCCCGGGGGATGCTCGGGGCGGGCGGACCGCGGGGCACGGCTGGGCGGGGGGCTGGGGGATCCTCCCCGCGGATTTGGGATCACGCTGCCTGCAGGGTGACACCTCCCCCCCGCCTTCCTCCACCTCGCCGTTTTTTGGGTGCCTGCACCCCGTGCGGGGGGAGGTGGGTACCGGGCCGGGGGCATGTGATGGGATTTTGGCTCTTACGTCACGGCATCGTGTCTGTGCGTGTGATAAAATCCCGGGGTGGCAGCGCGGGGGGACGGGGGGGAAGCGCAGCCCAGGGACAGACCTTTTGTGTGACACGGCAAGTTTGGGGCCCGAAAGCTCCTGGGGACGAGGGTTTTGCCCCACGGGGAGCTCGCACCCGGCGCTTCCCCCTCGTGTTCGGGGGCGGATCCGTGTTCTCCCCGCCGAGACATCCCGGGCTGGCAAAATCCATCCGGCGAGGCCTCCCGGAGGACACCTGGGCTGGGATGCGGCGCTGGATGGGGCCGGGCCCCGCCGGAGAGCAGCGCTCGGTGCCGGCCAGGTTTGTGATCCGCATGCTCCGGCCGTGCCTGCAGCAGCCCCGCGATCGATCCGGCAGCTTCTGGAGGTGGGGAAAGTGCTGAATCATTTGTGCTCCCGGCTCTCCGGGCGGCTCAGCTGCTCCCGAGCTCCGGCAGATGCTCGGGAAGGGGCTGCGGAGGGCGAAGGAAACTCCGCTGCGTGTGCGAGGCCGTGCCGGAGGTGGGAATGCTGCGGGCCCGGGAGAGGGAATGCTGGCCTGGAGCGCGGGGCAGTGTCCTCTGCCGTGGCCTCAGCTGCTCCTTGGAGGACAGGGAGCAGGGAGGATGCTCCTTGCACCCCGGTGAGGCCTCGGGGGGGATGCAGGGGGCAGGTTATGGGCGGAAAAAGGGAGCTTTTCTCCAGAAAATCCTGTCCCTGCTGAAACCGGGAAAGGCTTGTGCGTCTTGCTTGGACGGGTTTTTCCTTTTCCTTTGAGATGGTTTCTCAAGGTCAGGTCCTTGGAACAGCGTGTGGGCTGGGGGGCACTCTTGGAAGTCGAGCAGGGATGTTCCTGGCTGCTCCCCGGGAGGGAGGCAGTGCAGGGGGGCAGAGGGGATGTATTGCAGGAAAACTGGGATGCTGGCATGCCCAAACCAAGCCTGGCTGCTTTAAGATGGATCCTGTGGCGCTGTGGTGTTTCCGGGGTGCTCCTCTCAGCTGCTGAGCACAAAGGCAACAAATCCTGTGACTTTTCCAGAGCTGCTGATTCCTTTCTCCCTGCCCGAGGTTCTGTGAAACACCCACCCTTGGCAGGCACTGGTGGGCAGCGTGGCTGCTTTGTTTCAGGAAAACTTCTCTGTCTGGCCTACCCTGAAAGAAAACCCCTCAAATGCAGCATCCTCCTTTTCAGTTCTATTTCTGTCCTTTCCCTTCCCCAGCTCCAGGCTGGGCTCTTGCTGACTCTCCTTTTTTGTGTGTGTGTGTGTATGTGTGTGTGGTTGTAACAGGAATCCGACATAAATAATGCATGGAGGGCTGCTCAGCTGACAGAGGATGGGCTCAAGTTGTTAAATTTGAAAACAGACTTTGTTTACAGGGCTTGAGACCTGGGGACTGGCTTTGTCTTGCTCGAGCTGCGTGATGGGCTTGGTCCTTGGGATAACAAAGCTCCATCCTCATCCTCAGCCTCTCAGGCCTCGGCCTTTCCTGAGTTGTGCTGCCTGGGCTGTGGCTTGGGATCTGATTTAAAGCGAGGCAGTCAATCCAATCAGCTCTTCTCCCAGCTAATGATTAAATGGAAAATATCCCAAGCTCTCAAAAGGTATTAATTCGCAATGAATTATTTGCCTTGCTGTGATCTAATTGTCTTCGTGGGTCTTGTGTGTAAAATCGATGCTGCTGCTGGCAAGGTGCCACCACAAAGGCTTCCTGCAGCGCTCAGGCAGCGAGGGTGGGCAAATATCTTCGATCAAAACAGCGAGAAACGAGGTTTCCTGGCTGCCTGGGCTGTGTGGGGCGCTGGGAGGAGGCTGCTCACACGAGGCTCCCCTGAAGGGGGGCACAGAGCCCCACGGGGGAGCTGCTGGTGCAGGGTGAGCAGGGAAGGTGTTGAGATGAGGTGTGAACCACCAGGTGTCCGTTCTGTGTGCCAGGGGCTGGGTGGCAGCAGGAATGAGGTGCTGTGAGTGCTGCCCCAGGGGCTGTTGGCGTCTCCCCTGATCCCGAGGGAAGGGAGAAGGGACACGGGACCTTTGTTGGCTCAGGTTGATGGGAGAGGGGAGATGGATGGAGTTTAAAGGAGTTTCACTTTCCACTGCAGTGATTCTGGCTTCCAACACGCTGTTTCAGGCCTGGCTGGGTGACCCTGGGAGAAGGACCTGGGGTGACCTTGGGGGAAGGTTTGCTGGGTGAATTGTTCACAGGTCCCAAGGACCTTGCCAGACCCCAGTCCCCTCCTTCTTCTGTCACCTGTTTGACCTCCACTGAGCAGAACTGTGGTAGTTTGGGGATGTCTCTACAAAGAGCTCACCTGGGCAGGTGAATCTTGGGCAGGAAACTCAGAATTTCAGGGATTGTTGGCCCCACCGTGTCCTTGGCGTGCTCAGCTGAGGGGCAGGGAGGTGAAAGGTTTGCACTTGAGATTGCTGGAGAAGTCTGGGAAAACCAAACAGCTGGATTCCCAGGACACTTGTGAGGCTCTGATTTTATCTGGGAGGGGCTGATGAATTTCCTGTCCCTGCAGGAGCAGGGGGGGTGTCCTGACCTGTCTGTGCAGCGTCAGCCTCTCAGATCTCACCAGCACTTCACTTTTAGGGGGAGATAAACCTGAGAGCTGAGGCAGAGCTCCCTCCTTTGTGGTGTTACAGGACTTCAGGGAGCTGTGAGCCCCCTGGTTGCTGCACAGCCTCCTTGTTCAGGTGAAAGAAGGTGGCAGCTGAATGGTGAGGATTAATTTGTGGTTGTTTGCACTGAATGGCTCTGAGTAATACACAGAAAACCAGACTTTCCTTGAATTTGAATAACAACAGAACCAGGGAGGAGACTTGTAAAAATCCAAGGAAGAAACCTCTGGCACTTCCCTTTTGGAGCTTTGTTCCTTGGGTTTCATTTGCCCTTTACCAAAATATCCCCTCTTGTCTTAAAACCGAGCAGGCAGCTCCAACCACGGCTTGTATTCACTTACAGTTTCTGAAAGGCTCTTGCAAATCTTGTCAGGGAGGTCTAGCTTGTCTCCCTGCCCTGGGGGTAACTCCTTTCAAAAAGGATTCTCTTCATTTTAAATGTTGTTGGATGACTTCTGCTCCATTGTTTCTCTTTTCCCCCCCCTCTGCTCGAGCAGGTCACACCTTCATTCCTCTACCTTGGCTGTCCAGGATAATTATTGCATAATTTGGGAGATCCAGCTCAGAGTGAACTTGCCTGAAGTTGCTGTTATGTTAAATAATCCCTCTCCCTTTCTTTTTCTTTAATCCAGATCCGAAAGAAACAGTGCTGTGTTATTATGGATTAAAACAGAGCAGGATTTAGACCTCAGCCCTGCTTATAGGGATCACCATTCCCAGTTAATGAGATAGGAGGAGAGGGATTAACAGCTGAACAAATAGAGATGGGGTTGTGTGGCTGAAGCAGGTAGAAGTTCCCAAGGATGCACAGGGACAAGCCTTTGCCGTGTCCCTTTGGTTCCCCTCGCTCCAGAGCCCTTTGGATCCCATCCCATCCTGCTTGAGATCCAGGCCTGTTCTCCTCACTGTGGGAATGCAGCAGGGAGGGAGCAGCCCAAGGGCACAGGGGAGCAAATCACCCAGCCCTGACTGCAGGCAGGGCTGGACCAAAGGCCTTGGGAACAGGGAATGGAGCCTTCCCCTCCCAAAGCAGAGTCTGGGAATCCTTTTCTGGCACCACTCTGCTCCTCAGAGCCCAAACAAGGGGCTGCTGCATTCCCAGGCTGGGGAGAAGAGGGAAGAGGGTGCTTTGCACAGCCAGGACTCAGGGTAGAGTGGCACTGAGAAACCCTTGGCACTGTCCCAGAAGCTGCTTTCCCACCTTTGGAAGCAAACGTTGCTCCTTACAGATGGCTGGTTAAAGGGAGCAGGAGCCAGAGGCTTTTGGTGCAAGGTGAACCTGGAGGTTCATTGGAATTCCTGGCAGGTTTTCCTCTGCTTTCTGCCTCCCTGGCAGTGGGGTTTGGCCATTTTTCCAGCATGGGGACCGATGGGTTCCTACAGACAGTAGGAATCCTAAGGCCCAGCAAGAGTGATCCTGTCGGGCTGTCAGCCCGCATCCTGAATTCCTCCTGAAATGTCCTGGCACGGATGGGCCGGGCTGGCAACTGCAGTGGGAGCTGGGAGGGTGACAGGGCTCTCCTTGGATCTGCAGGAAATGCAGCGAAATCCTCTTTCTGCTCTGAAATGTTCCCTTTTCCTGGTTATCCCATTAACCTCAAGGAGCTCCGAATTAAAAAGAATCACAGAATGATGGACTGGTTTGGGTTGGGAGGGACCTTAAAGCTCACCCAGTGCCACCGCTGGCCACGGGCAGGGGCACCTTCCACGAGCCCAGGCTGCTCCAAGCCCCGTCCAGCCTGGCCTTGGACACTTCCAGGGATGGGGCAGCCGCGGCTTCTCTGGGAAACTTGGGAATGAGGAGGACATGAGTGTTGGTGGGTGGGAGAAGGAGCCTCGCGGAGCGGCCCCGTCCCGTCCCGTCCCATCCCGCTCGCTCCGGCCGCTCTCCAGGGTCCTGAACCGCCCGCCGGGAGCCCCCACGAGAGCTGGGGCCTCTCGTGCCCTCCCCCTTGGTCCCTGAGGTGTTCGCTCCTGGTTCCTCCTCGTGCCGAGGGTATGAAGGGAATAAGAGGATGAAATAAGAGGATGTGAGAACGGGGCACGATCCCCCCTCTAGCAGCCCCGGTCACCCGCAGAGGGTGGGTGGGCTCCACCCTCCTCGAACAGGTGGTTTGAACACCCACCTGGACAAAGCCCTGCACAACCCGGGCTGGGCTTAGGGCTGAGCTTAGGGCTGAGCCTGCTCTCAGCTGGTGGCTGGGCTGGGTGACCTGCCGTGGTCCCCTCCAGCCACAAGTGTTTTGTGATCCCATTACCCTGAGGGCTTTCATCAGCAGGGAACAACACAACCTGCTCCCTCTTTGCACCCCTTTGAGAACCTTTCCTCCTGTACCAAGACAGACTGCCCACCCTCATGCCACCGGGGAGCTGTTTTATTGGATATTCACAGCCGCTTTTATTGGATATTTGCACAGCCTGGGGGCAGGCAAAGAAATTACAGCCTTCCCTTCTCCCCCAGCAAGCTGAAAAGGTGAAGGCCAGCCCAGGCTCTGGAAGTTTTACCCAGTCAGCTCAGTTAATGAGGAGCTGTAAATGAGCTCTGCTGTGTGTGCTGGTGGCAAATGTCACCGCTCCTCGAGCAATTCTTCGATTGGGACTTGGGGCCAGCCTGTCTCTTGTCCCACAGGCTCTTACCAGCTCCATGGAGGGGTTTGGCACCACCAGCCACCCCGTGTTTGTGACACAGCCCCGTTTG